TGATCCCTGGATTTGATTACTAACGCGTTTTGACTCTCATCCAATGGTCCACATATTTTTACTTTTATTTTCTTTTCTGATTTTTATATTTTAATTGTTTTAAATTTAAAAAAAATCATAGAAAATTCATTTTAAGTCCAAAAAATCTGAAAAAATTATGAAAAAATATTTTGATTATTCTCTTTCTGATTTTTATTTTTTCACAATTTAATTTTGTGTTTTGGTATTTTTTTATAAATTTACACTTTATTTGAATTGTATTAAATGTTTAAAAATACTTTTATACATTTTAAAATTCTAAAAAAACTATGGAGTGATCCAATAATATTGTGACAAATATTGGTGACCTTATTTTATTTTTGTTTCTGAATTTACTATTTTTTTTATCATTTTTGGTTTATTTTACCTATTTCTTTTAATTTTAAAAATAGCTTTTGACTTTAAAAAATTACCAAAAAATTTATAAAATTATTTGAGCCTTTTTCTAATTTTTCTTTGGTCTTACTTTTTATTTCTTGAATAATTTGAACATAGTTGATATTTTTCTCTTTATTTTCTATTTTTAAACATTATTTTTAAACCCTTTTGTATATATTAAAATGTAATATTATTTTGTGACTATTTTCTGGCTGATCTTGAGTTAAATTTTGGATCATGAACTTTATTAACATCATTGGATCCATGGTGTTGCGTTTAACTCCATAAAAATGGATGAATGATTTTAATAATAGTTTGATTAAATTTAATTCAAAAGTGGTTCGTATATTCTCTCACATCCCTCTTCATCTCATCCCCTTCTTATTGCACTAAATATTGTTGGAGCATGATCTCTATATCATGTCTCAGAACAAATGGTGCATAGATTGCTATTGACCAGTCTCAAAATAGGTGCGACTTCTATATAAGTCCACTTACGATTGCTTAACATATCGCTAAATTTTGTCCCGATTCGAATAAATGATCATTCGTGGCCCAAACTTATGTTTGCAAGCCCAAGTATGTTAATTTAATCTCTTTGATCCAATAACCTTGAGATTCATTGTGTGGAGGCTTTGGTTCTACCAACCCTCTAATGGATCTACAACACCTTTGGTCAATGCAGATCACTTAAACATCGTTGATCATTAAATGGCACTTGTGAGAATTCCAAATGGATGATATACTTGACAAAAAGCAAATGCAACTTGTTGTGTGGAGGCTTTGGTTCTACCAATCCTCTAATGAGTTCCAAATGCAAGCTTCAAGATGGTCATCCAACTAACCACTAACTATTTACTTGTTTTACTTTATGCTTTTATTTATTTATGCTTTATGTACCATTTACTTTTAGCATTTACATTTCATGACATTTTCATCTTTGCTCATTTGGGCATTTACTTTCTTGTCATTTTTACTTTGCTCACTTGAGCTTTTTTTTTTTAATTTTTAAGATACTTAATAATCAACATAAACCATAAAAATATTTAATGGTACTTGGAATATTTGGTTACTATCCTTGGCATTATGGAGCATGAGACTTTTTTTTCTTGGACTTAGGATTAGAAACCTTGGCCTATCTTGGAGACCTTGTGATCTTATCTGATTATTTTGTCTGGAGTTCTTGAGGTTTACCTCAAGACATTGGGTTGCTTGTTTGTTTTTGTGTGCAGGTTTTTGTGATTACACCCTTTGTTTGTAATCTCGAATTCACCCGTATACATCCGTTACTGTGTCCAATTTTTGTGAAGACTTAATACACTTGAAGTTTGGTTCTCTCAAGAGGTCTAGTATTTTTTTTGCTTGATTGGTTTCAATCCAAGGAATGAAAATTCTATCTTGGCTCATAATGTCGAGTATTGGCTTCTTGTTGGTTAGATGGTTCTTATCCGTAGCTTTTACCTTATGCTTTAGGATAGTCCCTTCTTCTCCTCCCATCTTCTTTAATTTCAAAAATCTTCTTCCTCCTTTTGAAAACTCTTATTGTTTTTAAACTTGAACCACTTTCATAATAAACTTGGACTTATGTCCATGCATTTTCAAAACATTTTCATAAATAAACTCCAACCAACTTAATAATACCTTGACATTTTTTGTGAGAAGACTAAAAGTCAATCAATCTCATTTCAAACCATTTTGCCACTTTGGCTTTTATCTTTAAACTTTTTTCAAAAGATTGAACTCTTGTCAATCCTTGTAGTGATGCAAACAACTATAATTCTACAATATGTAGTGAAGAGAGATATTTTCTACTTGGGTGTTGAGTGAGGCATTCTTGATTTTAAGATCCAGGCCATATCCTCCACTTTGAGATGATGCAAATTCTCATTTCTCATAATTGTGGGTAGTAGGTATGTTTTCCACACGGACAGCGACGATGATGTTTTATCTCATAAAATTAACCAACACATTTGTGTTTTAATTTTTTTAAAGAGGAACTACGTGTACCCTGATCCCCTATTGCACAAAAAGGTGGTACGTAGGCACTAATGGTTCGCAACCGCGGCGGGTGCAAAAAATTATAAAATAAATATATTTCTTTTCTCACCTCCACCATCCATTTTTATACAACAATTTTCATAGCCAAAATATACAGATTTCACAAAGAGGTTCCTGCGGAGTACCGTAGATGTTTAGGGTGCTAATACCTTCCCTTTGCATAACCAACCCCCTTACCTT